ATGTCGACAGAACTCAGCGGTAGTGTGGACGCAGGTATAGTTTTGTCGACAAAAGTCCACTTTTGTCGACAAAACCCTGTAGTCTAGACACACCCTCAGTGGCCACAACAGACCTGGTCGCTGAGAACAGCTTCCAGGTCTGGAGGAGTTCCTGGTAGAACTCCAGCAGCTCTGAGAGGTCTCATGGAAGACCCCTCGGGTGGATAAAAATGAGCTGCCGGTCGTATCGGAGCCCTCGGAAGCAGCGGAGGAAGGCGCGCGCCAAAAGGCTCCACACCGGACTACCTGCACTATACAGGAGTCTATGCAGGGCCTGGAGGCAGAAGGTCCAGACCTGGCTGCGCATGCAGGCCAGGCCCTGTCCCCCCTCCTCCAGGGGGAGACACAGGACCCCTGCAGAGACCCAGTGCATTCCTAGCCAAAAGAACTCCAGGGCTATCCTCTAGAGTCTGGCCAGGACCTCTGGGGCCAGGCTCAGGGTGCTGAGCTGGTGCCAGAGCATGGACACAACCAGTTAGTTCAGCACCAGTGCCCTCCCCCGCAGGGAGAGACACTGGAGCAGCCCCGTCCATCTCCGCAGCCACTCACCCACCTTGGCCTCCAAACCCTGCCAGTTCTCCAGCAGGGAAGGATGCGTGGCGGATAGAAAGACACCCAGATAGAGCAGAGGACCCACGCTCCACCTGATGGCCTGAAGTGCGGGTGGGAGGGAGCCTGCCTGCCACCTGTCCCCAACCACCAGCAGCCCAAATTGATCCAGTCAAAGGCAAAGACGGGAAAGTCTTCCAAAAAATTAAATGCCTTGTTAGAAACTGTACATCCCCTGTAGTGTTCCCTCCAAACTGTTCAGCAGCACAGCTTCACAGGTGATTAATCAGCCCCACCCAGTGTGCACTGAGCCCTGAGCCTCTGACTGGGCAGGGCTGATGGATCACCTGTGAAGTTGTGCTGCCCAGCAGCTTAGAGGGAATGCTGGTCCCCTGCCTAAGCTATCCAGAAAGGAGGATAAGGCTAACCATAACCAGGGTTTCCCCTCCTCATCCTCTGGCTCCAGAAAGCTGTATTTTAGAACATGCATGGAGGTCACTTGCATAATCAATGCAGTTTGCAACTCCAAGGGGGAAAAAAACCCTAGTCCAAACTCTGCAGACTAGTCACCCCAAAAGGAATTTCTCAGTTAGGATCACCCATCTTCATGTCAAATGCTGATGACAGGTTGTAAGCCAGCTGGCTTAGTCCTGGGACCCATACCTGTGCTCAGGCCTATAAATACATGTCCAGTGGTCCCCTTCAAACACCGGGCCCTAAGAACAGAGCAGGCCAGGCAAACAAAGACCAACTGGCTCAGAGCTGGGCAGCAAAGCAAACATCCTCCCACAGGCAAGAGAGGGGAGGGGGACACTGCCACCCAATGTGTGTGTGTGTGGGGGGGGGGGGGGG